ATAACAACAGAGCCAGATAGGGAGAAAAATTTTAGAAAATTATTTAAGAAAGCCGGATGCCCTTTCGGGATGCAAGAGAGGCAGCGGAGAGACGGGTGAACGAGTAAATGGTAAAGACATACACGGAAGAATGTTAAACGACGAAGAGGAGATAAGAAGTAGGCGAAGAGAAGACTTTAGGGTGTAATGAGTGGAAGTGATACAAGAGGTAGCTGTGTGACATGATTGACGGCGTGTGTGAGGAGGGCAAAATATATCTATGGTAGAGATGAACACGTCAGGGAAGAAGATGACGTGTGGGAACGCTGCAGGTGTCCATGAGGTATATTCAAGCATTATTAAATGTAATAGAGACAAATCAATGGAGTTAATATGGAAAATTTGGCAGGCGGCGAGGACGGAAGAGCGGTGATGTCCGCGACCATTGGAAAAACTCCAGATTTTGCCACTTAAAAATTACGAGAATGTTTAGTGAGTGTAAGAGAGAGAGAGAAGTTTACTAAATGTAATGGGCAAAGTGTATGGCAGGATTGTGTCGTAATTGTGCAGAAATTGACTACTGATGAACAAGGTGGTTACCGTAGTAGAAGCGGGAGTGTGTAGAACATACATTTACATACAGCTTGTAAACACACGCCACAATGATCATAAGGGTTACCTGCCATCTTTAAACTTGGACAAAGATATGACTAAGTTAATAGATAAGGACTTTGGAGAATGATAAGCATGTATGGGGCTGGTCGAGAGCTGCTAAATTAGCAGTGAATGCGTGAGCTATCAAATGAACAAATCCACAAGGGCCGTGACGAGGATTCAAACTTGCGTCCGGGAGCATCCCAGACACTGCCTTAATCGACTGAGCTACGACAGCTATCGTAGCTATCGACAGCTATGTGCGTGAGCTATCATTGTACATCAGGACTGAGTAGTATCTCCCTGGCTGAGGTCACAAGAGGGGGTCATGAGGGAAGGTCATGACGGGAGGTCAAGGTAAGAACGTTAACAAATAAAAAATAGTGTAAACATAGTTATATATAAGCTGTTGATACGGTTTTCGACTCACCTTGAGCTAGGCTAGGCCTTTTGTTCCCTATGGGTAGTGTCCCTGAGGTGTACTGCTAGGAATATACTAGGTTAGTAGTGGGTATCCATCAGTCTCAGAACTCTATGGAGTTACGCTCTGGTTGTCGGTCTGGAGTGGCCTCTCCAGGGCGCAAAAGCCAGGGTAGGGAGATACGGGGGAGCTAAGTTAGGTTAGCCTGGTGTTAAAGGCCTAGGGGAGATCCCCAACGGAATACAGGAACACCAACATTGTGTATTATTATTACAAATATATTTACTGAAGGAAAGATATAAACAAGATAAATGATCTTGTATCAGTGGGCTTCCACACTTCACTCTGGGGACTTAAGTTAGTGTGTTGTGACACTGAAATAGTGAACCTATGGACCATAATCCATATAAGACATTCGTGAAATTCGTGATTCGTGAAATAAAATCATTGTATCCCCTTCAGATCACGGGGATTTCTTTCATTATTTCTCGTGAAATAAATTAAGACACGTCATCATATCAGGACACAATGTAACTGAATTTCCACAGAAAATGGTGGTATCACCATGCACAAAATAATGAGGTACGTAAACTGGACTCTTTCTATATTTAGTATTCAATGTTGCTGAAAATGACTCTGTTACCCTGCATTTATAAGGTATGTAATTAATAGCTGAGCTGTAATATCTGGGCTGTGAGAAAAGCTCCATCGCCAGGTATTCCCAGTCACAGGTTCCGCCATCTTGGTCCTGTCTGGCCGTCAACACCCGCTGACGCTCGCCCCAAAATGTCAAATGTTTAACTAGTTTTGAAACCTCTCTGAATATTTACTTTAATAATACTCTTTTTGTAGAAAATAAAAGAGTAAATTTTTCATTAACAAACTTTTTATATATATATATCCTACAGGTTACAAATACGCGATAAATATATTGAGGTACTACTTGGCTGGGCGGAGGAATAATGGCGACCTTCGGTCTGCCAGCACTCTGTTGATCCCCAGTACATAAAAATAAAGCATAAACATTTACATATTCCTAACATAGGCCTGATACGAGTAACTTTATTATGTCAAATTATATGTAGTTAGTACAGTTTTTCCCTCTTCCAAGATTTTGTCCCCATTTGTGAGGTCATTCACTCCTCTCTCTTCCCCTCCGGCAGGACTTCTCGAGCGAGGGGACGCCTCTGAGGAACACCATCTACACAGAATACGAGAAGTCTCGCTCGCTTGACTTGGAGCCCATTATCGAGAGGGACTTTCCCAGAGAGTCACGCCCCATGTCCTCCCGCGGGTGGCACTCCTGGGGGCGTCGCCGAAGGCACGCGACGCCTTCGTCGTCCTCCTGGCGACGACGAAGGGACGTAAGTCCTTCCTCCCACCCGATCTCGAGCACCATCAGCGACCAGCTCCTCCTCACCCTCGTCGACCAGATTAACCACACTTGTGAGTGTCAAGTGTTTTACAGAGGAGTTTATACTGAGCTCGGAGGACTTCCGAGTAGCCCCCAGTACATATATATTTATTTAATCAATGATAAGTAAATCGGGCATCAGAGCCCGGTACCCTTTGGAGGGTCAGACTGATGACGCAACACAATTTCATGCTCTAACATGACATTGATGAGTATATCAAGTTATTATTATTATTATTATTATTATCTACCACAGACGTGGCCACACATTAACAATGCTAATCAGCATATATACATTTTCTTCTGTCCTCCATGGACAGGGTGAGAGATTTGTTAAACATATAGTATAGGGATTTATTAAACAATCAGCCACAAAAGGTGATTACAATGCTTATAAAATGCTAATATAACCTACATACAGAAATACATAAATACACAAATTTACGTCTGACCTACATAAACAGTGTCTTTTTACATAATGTCATTAATGTGCGTTTACAAAGGTAAAATACATTTCTAACCAGCTTCCACATATAGAGTTTACACACACACACACACACACATATGTGTGTGTGTGTGTGATTGATGTTGGATGGATGTTGATTGACGGTTGAGAGGCGGGACCAAAGAGCCAGAGCTCAACCCCCGCAAACACAACTAGGTGAGTACACACACACACACACACACACACACACACACACACACACACACACACACACACACACACACACACACACACACACACACACACACACATTTATGTCTCTCCTACTATGACGGGTAAAGTAGCTGCTATATGAACTATTGTGTTATTAAGCACCCTAATCACTGAAGGTGATTAGGGTTCTTTTACAAACTCAGGTTATATAGTTACATCACAAACACTGTACAACATAACTGATTCATTACATAGTCAATCTTGGGTACAAGTCCAATATATCATCAAGTGTTCCAGCATTCATGTAGTATTTACAGAGTTCAGCATACCTCAGCCCAGGAGCAAGAAAGTCAGTATTCTGGCCACTATAACATCACATTGCCGGGTTCTTGTTCTATTAGTCCCATATGTGAATGTCTCCTCACGATATCTATCATGATATTTAATGCTACAACTTTCAGGTCTTTGTGAATTTGTTAGGTCTGTGAGATTTTCATTAGATATTTAAGTATTCTCTTTGTCACTGCTAATGAAACACCCATATCAATTTCTACTACTGGTTTTCTGCAGGCTGTCTTTGCAAGCATATCAACAGTGTCATGCCTTGAGATGCCAACATGTGATGGTATCCATAAGAATTTAATTTCAAACCTGTTTTCTTTAGCAGCTAAAACATTTATTCGAATATCACTATTTTCTGGGTGTCACTATTATGAGCGTTCAATGACAGGAGTGCACTCTGCGAGTCACAGTATATAAGTCCACTGCCTTTGTCTTTTAAAAATTCAGTGGCAAGGTATATGCCTGCAAGTTCGGTTTGAGTTGTACTTGCCCAGTCATTGACGCGCTTCATTGCTGTATGTACGAGAGAAGATTGTTCAAATATGTTACATGCACATCCGGTACATCGTCCACCTTCTTCTACAGAACCGTCGGTATAGCACTGATACACATCGTTACCCATACTCCGAGTACTTTCAGTGTTGCTTTTCAGTGTTACCTGTTTTAATAATGTAGAGTGCACACTATCTTTCTTGGGCGCATTTACAAAATCAACTGATAGATCCCAGTTATCCCATGGAGTAATTGGTTGATTAATCATTAATTGAGTTGGTACATATTTAATATTTTGTTGGAGTTGGCTACCTTGTAGAACCAAAATACATAATCAGATTTCGTTCTTCTTCTATAGACCTCAGGTGAGTTTAGCATATTAGAAATTTGAGCTTGAAACTTCATGTGTTGCCGAGATCTACGTAATGCCTGTACGCCGAAAACTGCGCTAATAGAAAAAATTCTCACTTATGGTAGACAATTTTAACTCTGATATCATATTCACTATTCTCGTGGACTTTGGAGCCCCAAGGATGAGACGCATAGCTTCATTTTGCAAGGTTTCAAGTGATTTTTAGCTCTTTGTCTGTATACAGTGTGAGATGTAGAGCATTGTAATCACAGAGCGTATATATGATACATAAAACAGTCTAGCAAGTCTCACGTTAATTCCATGATTAGGCTGCTCATCGCTCTTACGGTCAGTATTACCTACGGCAGTATGGTGATCATTATCATCACCACCACCAACTCATCATCACCAACTCATCACCGTCACTCACCTCATGCTACGTAAGTCTTAACCTGGACACTGCCCGAGTGAAAGCCACTTTCTTGCGGCCTTTCTCCCACCTCTGCAAGAACCACTTTCCCTGCCTGGAGTGAAGGTCGTCCAGGCTAAGGCCCCTCCCTGGAAGACAGTACTGGAATCCTTCTTCAAGGACTTTCACTGTTCCTCGGCAGGTGGCCTGCTGGGGGCGTCTGAGAGAGGGAGTGAGAGAGGGAGTGAGAGAGGGAGGGAGGGAGTGAGAGACAGAGGAAGGGAGTGAGAGATAGAGGGGGGGAGTGAGAGATAGAGGGGGGGAGTGAGAGATAGAGGGGGGGAGTGAGAGATAGAGGGGGGGAGTAAGAGATAGAGGGGGGAGTGAGAGATAGAGGGGGGGAGTGAGAGATAGAGGGGGGGAGTGAGATATAGAGGGGGGGGAGTGAGAGATAGAGGGGGGAGGGAGAGAGAGAGAGGGGGGAGTGAGATATAGAGGGAGATAGAGAAAGTGCATAAAGAAGGATAGGGAATGATACATGGGGACGGAGAGTTGGGAAGGGGGATGGGAGTAATGAGACGGAGGATATGTAGGGAGTGGAACTGAGAGCGAAAGAGAAATGTGGCTAGCCATTATGTGACTGTGAACCCCAGTTACCTCAGGCGCTGTCCCGATTCCTGTCAGGACTGACTGACAGGTACACAGGTACAGACCGTACCTGTCAGTCAGGCACGGTCAGTACTCGGCACGTGGCCTCGTGGGAGATACGTGACCTTACGGGGGAAGACATACCATCGTGGGAGACACATGACTGTGCGGAAGTACTATGGCTTTTAGGGCCCGCAGTAGAGGCAAAGATTGAATTGAAACGCGTCACAAGTTGGTCAATTATCATTATTGTTTGAAAATAGCAAGACATAGGCTGACATTTAATGGGTAAGTTACATGAAGCTTATTAGGTAGTTTACTCTTAAACTGGTTGAGAGAGGTACAGTCTTTGACATGATTGGGAAGGTCATGTCACATTCTGGGTCCCTTGATTTGTAGAACATTTCTAATTTGGTTAAGGCGCACTCTTGGAATATCAAAATATCAAATAGGTATTTGTTTCTGGTGTGGTGCCCATGGCTTTTGTTACAACCTTGTAGGAAGCGTTTAAGGTCAGGATTGGCACTACAGTTCAGAGTTTTAAATATATAGAGTACACTTGAGAGGATGTGCAGTGACTTAATATCTAACATATTCAAAGATTTAAGGGTACCGAGTGCTGTCTGGGGCCAGAGTTTGTTATTGTTCTAATAGCAGATTTGTGTTGAGTAATTAGAGGACGTAGATGATTTTGGGTAGTAGAACCCCAAGCAGATATACCATAATTGATATAATGATAGATGAGAGAGTAATACCAGGGCAGGGCGAGGTACATAATATCTGATCTTGGAACGAATGCCATCTGTTTTAGAAACTTTTTTAGCTATATTTTGAATGTGGCCCTGGAAATTCAGCTTGTTATCAATGAGAACACCAAGGAATTTACCATCTACTTTGTTACTAATTTGGATATTGTTAATTCTTAGATTAATTTGATCTGAGGATTTATTACCAAACAAAATATAGAAGGTTTTGTCAATGTTAAGGGTGAGTTTGTTAGCAGTTAGCCAAAGATGGACTTTATTTAGTTCAGTATTCACTGTATCATTCAGAATAAGAGGGTTAGGACTGGAGAAAATGAAGGTTGTGTCATCAGCAAATAAAATTGGCTTGAGGTGTTGAGAGGCATTTGGAAGGTCATTAATGTAGATGAGAAAGAGGAGAGGGCCAAGTATGCTGCCCTGTGGAACACCAATGTTGATGGGTAGGGTGGGAGAAATGGAATCATTCACAGAAACATACTGGAGCCTGTCACTAAGGTAAGACTGAAGGTATTGGAGGGAGTGACCTCTGACTCCATAATGATGTAATTTAAGAAGCAGGTTGTTGTGGTTAACAGTGTCAAAAGCCTTACGTAGGTCAACAAATAACCCATCAGGAAACTCATTTTTATCAAGAGCTGCATGTATCAAGTTAATCATACTAATCAGTGCATCATTGGTGCTTTTTTGGGAGTCTGAAGCCATATTGGCAAGAGCTAAGTACTGTATATTGTGTTTAGCTAGATAAGAGTAAAGCTGCTTGTAGATTAGCTTTTCAAATATTTTTGACAAGGTTGGCAGAATTGATATAGGTCTGAAATTGTTGACATCAGTGAGATCACATTTGTGGACTGGAGTTACTCTCGCTTTTTTAGTTTTAATATCAGGAAAGGTTTAGAGTTCAAGTGATTTGTTGTATAGCAAAACAATGGCCGGAGCTAGAAATCTAGAGTTTTTTGTAAATTAGAGTTGGTATCTCAGCAAGGGCACTTGACTTTGTTTTAAGAGAAAGGATTATCTCATTAACATCAGAGGAATTAGTGGGAGTTAGGTACAGAGACTCTGGATAGTTTCCTGTAAGGTAGTCCTTAACATTAGTTAGGGAGGATGGGATATCATTTGCAAGGGATGTGCCAATGGATGAGAAGAAACTATTGAATTTAATAGCAGTGTCAGAGGCAGAAAGCACACCATCGTCATTGGATAGGAGTATTGGTTTTTTATTCAAGATCTTCTTTGATCCTAATATTTGGGAAATAGTGCTCCATGTTTTCTTAATGTTGCCCTTAATTTGGTCGAATTTATTTTCATAGTATTTTATTTTGGCTCTCCTAATTATTTTAGACAGCATTGATGAGTATCTCCTTGAA